TTTTTGTAGGACATTATCTGAAGTGTGCGTTTGAGCTTTAAATGACATCTCTTGTACTCCGTTAGATTGGAATTGTGTGCGTATGCATCTCAAATATTTGATTTACAATTCACATATTCAGACCCCATCAATGTTCATATTACACCGACGTCGGATGAAGTCGTTAATGTCGTGGCTGATGTGTTGCGCTCATTCTTTCGTCACCTCGAATCGCCTTTGATACCGTGCTATATGCAAGAACGCTTGTTTGCTATTGCAGAAATCAAAGGTTGGGACATATTCCAAGCTGTGGACAATCTTCTGAATAAAATGCTGTTGATCGATCACTAGTTGAATCAAACACAAGTGAAGATATGAAATGGGAGCACCGCAGATATGTGATAAAGCTCAAGTTTCATGTGCATTTGTAATCCAATCCGAATCAATTTGATAAAACGTTAACTACTCCAAAAAAAGGAATGCTGAAGTGTCACAATATTTTAAGAAATTGTTGAAAATGTCGAAATTTTCAGATTCTTCAAGGCTAGACGAATACCATGAGGTGTTGATGAGTCTGCCACGAGTTCGTTTGCAAACATTGCGGCGTTTGTTGGATCATTTGAAGGATGTCACTGAACACGCTAACGCTAATCTAGCAAGCATTGAGAATATTGCACAAATTTTTGGACCAACCATATTCGCTGTAGATAAGGTATTCATGGAGTTGATGTTCCTCGTGTGAAATTCAATTCAGTTTTCGGATTTAATGTTATCCTTGGAATATTTTCTGAACCGAAAGCATTTAAAAATATTCAGAGATTCAAAAGTTTATAAGAATTTTTAGTCGTTGAATTGTTCAGAAGTATTTCAGAATGAAGAGAATCGTGGGTTCCGAGGCTACGATACAATGGGCGAACAATCGAGAGTTCTTCGAGACCTTATACTCCATTATACGACCATCTTTCGGGTGTCACTGCGTGAGATGCATGCAAAATCAAAAATTGATATGATTCAGGGCAAAGCCAGCACCGCAAAGGTCATTCCTCTGGCTCAGTGGTTCTCATAGGGACTTAAATTACCCACTTCGGGTAATTTGGAGATGTCAACGGGTAATGGAGGGGCTTGGGAAATTAGTATTTCATGCAATTGTCATTATATGATAGAATGCCATTATGATGGTGTTTTTAACTGGGATATGTAAATGGCAACACTCTTCATTCTCATATTTGCTGAGCATCATTAGCTCGTCCGGGTCTAACAGGGTTATCATTCGTTTTAACAGGGTTTTCATTCTTTTCCTTGCTGCTATAAGCACTCTCATAGCTTTTATCACCAAAAGTGTTCTCTTTTGCTAATTTCTCATTCATTTTACTCAGCAATTAAAGTCAAATTCTCATTCTATCAAATACACTCTATAATTGATCATTCGACCGTTGAGCAATGATATTTGATTGCTGTATTGTTGTTTTCGGCTGTCAACACTCATCAACGTATCAAGTAAATAGTATATGCTACAGAATGAGAAATTGATCCGAACTATGAAGTGAAGTGAATGAGAAAAACTCATCAATAGAACGATATGCGCATGTAATAGCTATGAGAGTGAGTGAATCAGTTTGAAGTAAGCGTGTCACAGACAATAGCTTTTCATGGAGTCAAAATCAATTGCAATTGATCAACATAACGGTATAAGACAATGGTTCTCAAAAGAAGTGAAATCACCCGTCTTGGGTAATTTGGTGATGGTGGGGAGGGAGAGGGCTGCCAGATCATCAAAAGGGTTAATGGTGCACCCGAACGTGAGAACCACTGCTCTAGCTTTTTTCAATTTAATTGAGAGTGAATCTAACAGAAAACATTGAATCATTCGAATGAAGTTGATAATTTTGAGAAATTTTTGAATAAGAAGAATAATCTTATAAAATTTTGAAGATCGTAATTTAAGGCTCGTGCTGATGGCTTCTTGGTACCGATACATTTGTTTGAAAAAGACAGCTACACATTCAATGTTCAATCAACGTTAACTGCTGAGCAAGTGAGTGTTATTGAGTTTTCAGTGACAAGTATCGTCAAATTTTTCTAAAAATTTTCTCATCATTCCATACGAAACGATTGGTATAAGCAGTATAAACATTGCTGTGTTGTTTTTGCAAACAAACTATCTCGATTCAAAGCACTCATTTGTTATCTAATAATATATCACGATTGCACTGGCTTTTATCAGTGCGAGTAAGAAATTGAATATTAGTTCGTAAGTGGTGAATAATAATTCATGATTAGTTGATAGTGTTTATGATTGATCATGTTAGTAATGGCATTCATGATTAGTATTGAACTGCTACAATTTTTAGGTATGTGAGGCTGCTCGCAATCGTCCGTGCTTTCGTGATGAAGCATCCAAGGGCAATTTTGCTCTGTTTGAGGTTATTTTCAAATTTCTCAATAATACATTCACCTAATGAGTGACCTGACATTATGAAAACTTCCATGAAAGTTAAAAGTGCGCACGTTTCTCCGTGTCAAATTTGCTGAATGATCAGTAAACTTCAGATGATCAAATGTGGTCAGCTACAACGACGTGTTGGTTTACGCGAGAAGATGAAGTCAATGGTGACGGGACGTTGGTTGGACTGGGATCCTACAGATTGTTTTCTACTCTTCAAACGAGATCCACAACCGTTCTCGTTTGATGTTAGTCTTGTGCTGTTGATAAATACCTTCAATATTCATGATCACTGTTCGGTCGAACATAGCCGAAAATGAGCATTTGAAATGGATTTATTAAAGTTGATCTTTCAGAAACTATCATCAGTTGATGAGACCGTTACAAAGTTTTCTGCAGTTTTGATTCAGAACAATGTTGCCTGATGTCGTCAGTGTTATATTTTTTGATAGAATATTTGAATTCATGTTGGGTTTTTATAGCAAATGTATCCATTCGCGGATGATGTGAAAATAGCAGAACCTGGATCGAAATCGTTCAGTACGGCCCATTTAAAACTTGAAACTGGCACAACGATCGTTCATTACAATAAGGTTAGCAGAACATAAAATTGTCTCTTCTTTACTGTTTACTTGCTCATATGTCTTTATTGACTTTCTTATGACTGCTCCAAGTTGGAGATGTTCGAAGCATACATCATCCGATACGAGGCGATTTTCCGGCATATCACCAATAGATTTTAGTTCAAGAAATTGCAAAATTCGACTACAAAGGTTACTGATAACATTCGAAGAAAAGCGTACACCCCAGAATTTGGAAAATTCTAAAATCCCCGTAAATCTAATAAAATTTTGTCTTTTCAAAAATATCTTATGAAATCCATCAGTGTTAAATTTCAGTCAATGAAGCAACTGAACGAATGGCATGTTGATGATGTTTTGTGGTTTATGGACCATGAAACTGCTCGAAAGCCACCAACTTCGTTCACGTTAACGTTCATTTTGACGAAAAAAAGTTTCAAATTCAAATCGAAATTTATCGGCTATTGTATAGCGTTTCGTGATAATAATCAGCGAGTTCAGTGGCTGAATTCTGTGCTCAGCTCACAGCTGGATTTCCAAGCTTTACCCTCACCTTTGTTGCAAATTTAATGCAACAATGTCTATGCATTTTATTGATTTCAGCTCATCCATCTCGCTTCTCTCCTCGCCAAATTCCATACAAGTCATACAAGATTTTTTGAATCCATTTCCTCAATTTTTAGGGCTATGAGATGCTAACAGTTGAGTTACGGTCTGCAAGGGGGGAGGGAGGGGTTTGAATGAATGAAATATAGATCTGCAGGATGGGATCCTGTTCAATGGATTGAAACCTGAAGTTGGGATACTGTTTTTCAAACTATACCTGTTTGATGAAAGGAACTCAGGTAAGGCTAGCATAAGTGGTGAAGAATCTGCACTTGTATTTATGAGTGTGCAGTATGGATGCGGATGGATATGTCTCTAATCAGTTACATTCACAATTCGAGTAACTAACCAAAAAAACGGGTTTCCTTCGAGTCCTAATGCGGCCATATAGTGTGCTGTCAATAATGATAATGTCCTGTTGTTATTGAATATTCCATTAAGCTACATAAGTTGTATTCTATATCTTGTATCTGTTCTGTATTTTCTTAGATGAACAATTAATTAATTTGTTTGCAATAGCTATTTTTTATTGTTGTTATGAATATTTGAGACATTACGTTATGTTATTGTTATTTGACCGATGATGCATTGTTTTAGTGAATATTCTTGTATGTCGCACGCTTATTTGATGATGTATTCTCCTTTGCTATTCTGATAATAACCGTAATGATGATACTAGTAATAATGCAAATGAGAGAAGTTTCATTATTAGTACTATTATCATTTCATTATTATGAGTATAATATTTGATATTGCAAATATCAAATAATATTTTGCGTTGCCGCAGCATTGAACGCCTTTAGTGACGTTCAATCTCTATTTTTACTGAACGAAGGACTTTCGACAAAAATGAACTTAGCGATTGTATGCTGAATGCAGATTGTTAAGGCGCATTAGGGATTTCTATCTCTAG